CACAATGAAAAAAATATTACAAACATTTTTTTTATTTTGTCGTATAAGTAAACAATTCTTAGATAAAACGGAGTTAAGTTTAGGAGTGGGCGGTCGTTACGTCATGCTACCCTATAAAATGTAGTAAATCGTGAGTCAAAGTCAAAGTCAAAGCATTTATTTCAATTAAACCATAGTTTGGTACTTTTGAACCGTCAACAAATACAAAATAAATAATAGTCTGTCAGTCAGTCCGTCAGTGAAGCTAGGTGAAGCTAGGTGCTCATTCCAAAACGTAGATTCGAATGGAGAAGAACGAGCAAGAAACTCCATTCGTTACTCTTTTAAAAAAGTATGTTCTACAATGTCTCTGATACATATTTCAATACTGTACGCATATGTAAGAACAATGCAAAGACACGCTTGACGCATTATACTACTAACTTACTAAAATAAAAATAAAAATAATAAAGATCTTAAGTCCAACATGGTGCTCACATATGCATACTGACAATCCATAGAAATAGTGCTTCTATACAAGAAAAAGGAAACTCTTTGTTTCAATAAAGAAAGAAATGCTCGATGCCATAAGGAAACTAGATTGTCTACATTAGAATTAAAGTATTAAATTATGTATTATATTACCTACTATTGGAATTTAACTACTGACTACATTTGAGTATTGTCCAGTGGAGCCGAACCAACATGCTGCCAAGCATTCTTATCTTCAAGATAATCTGTCAGTGTGTAGTAAGCTTGATTACATAATTCGCGCTTAATATATGTTTTAAATTTACTTTCATTGAGATCTAGTATGCTATTTGGTATTTTATTATAGCATTTAATACCTAACCCCATAAAGGATTTCTGTACTTTGGACAGTCTGAATTGCGGTATAGCTAACTTATTTTTGCCTCTAGTATTAAAATTGTGTCTATCGCTTCTTTTTTCAAACAATTGCCTATTTTTCCTTACATACATTATATTTTCATATATATATTGACAGGGCACCGTTAAAATATTTATCGTTTTAAACAATTCTCTCAACGATTCGCAACGGCGTAAGTTATATATTGCTCGGATAGCCCGCTTTTGCAGAATAAATATTGATTCTATTTCTGCAGCTCGACCCCACAACAAAATGCCGTACGACATAATGCTGTGGAAATAACTAAAATAGACAAGCCTAGCTGTATCCACGTCCGTGAGCTGTCTAATCTGTCTAACTGCAAAAGCAGCTGAGCTCAATCTCCCCGAAAGCGCCTTTATATGCGGACCCCATTGTAGCCTATTGTCTAACGTAATGCCTAAAAATACTGTCTCGTCGACAAATTCTAACTTTTGACCGTTCAAAACAATATCACAATCGTTACTACGCACGTTTGGTAAACTGAATTTAATACATTTTGTTTTTTTTTCATTAAGTGCTAGATTATTAATGGTAAACCAATTATGCACTTGAAGAATGGAGCTGTTTACGTCGTCAAGATTATTTGTACGTCGATCTACTTTAAAAATTAATGATGTATCATCTGCAAAAAGCACCATTCTTGGTTCATTTTTAAATATAAATGGCAAATCATTTATATAGACTAAAAAGAGAAAGGGACCCAATATTGAACCTTGAGGAACGCCCATATTCATCCCAGAGCCCTGTGAGTTAATACCGTTAACATGAACCTTTAACTGTCTTTCTTCTAAATAAGATTTCATAAGACGGAGCGCAGAGTTTCTTATCCCGTAATGATCTAATTTCAGCAAAAGTGTTTCGTGGTCAACGCAATCAAATGCTTTTGAGAGGTCACAAAATACACCAATAGCATCCTGTGCTTCCTCCCAAGCACCAAATATTTCCTTAATCAAAGTGACACCGGCGTCAGTTGTGCAACGACCTTTAGTGAAACCGTATTGTTGTTGGTGAAAGATGGAATGTTTCTTAAAATGATGAAGCATCCGAGACAGCATCAACTTTTCAAAGACTTTGCTGAGAACCGGTAAAACAGACACTGGCCTATAGTTGTTAGGTTCTTTAGTGTCACCACTTTTAAATAGTGGGATAACCTTACTATATTTCATTAGGTCAGGGAAAACACCGTCATCTATACATTTATTTAAAATCACAGCCAGATATGGCGCTACAGTTTGGATAAGTGACTTGCAAACCATTACCGATAAGCCCCAAAGATCCTCCGTTGATTTAGTGACGACACACGGTATTTCAAATCAACATATCGTCGAAAGTATTTAATTTTGTATGAAAAAAATACGTGTCTAATGTTTTAAAGTAATCTGCCAGACGGACATTAAAATAAAATTTAGGATCCTACCCTATTATTTATTTGTGTATAATTTGGAAATTCGTTTGTCAATCAGCATCTAACTCTAGCAATTGTTTATCAAGATTACTCAACTAGTTAAAAGCTACGTAATGACCCACAATCGTGACAAATATGTGTAGTATTTTAATAAAATTTTTAATACTATGCCTACATATTTTTTGATGCAATGTTTTCCCAGGCTTGGATGCACTTATAGATGTCATCACGATACTCACTCATTTGTGAAGGCACATGTATATTGAAGTGAAGTGTACATTATCCCACGTATTGTGCAATACTTACTACGTCACTCATTCCTATTCGTATTGAAAACAATAATATTATTACAAACTGTAAATGAATATGAATATCTCAAGTGACAGAGCAGAAGCGATTATCATTCACATATAGTTTAAAGATACAGGTGTAGTGTCATTTTTTGGCTGAGGTATTATTAGTTCGGTTTAAATATGGAATCACTGATATAAGATTATATTTAGTTAACTTTTTCAATATTCGTAAGAAGTTTATTATATTCGAGAAACCAAAATTAATTATTATGCAAGCCAAATTGCCACTACCAAAAACTACGTCGGGAGTGTCATCGTAAGTGAGATACTGAGTTGTGCTCTTTGAGCCATCAGACTATCACGGATGGGGCCCAATAGGACTGATGCCGTTACGTAGCCACGGAGGACTTAACGGGTTGCCGGGGCTTCGACTCGAAGTGCAGGAGTAGGAACGTGGTGGATTTTAGTCAGTAAAGAGTCTGACTCTCCCAGCCTCCCGTCTTACCCAGGCTTGAGAAGCCATTCGATGATTTTCCCTCCTTAAAAAAGAACTTCCAAAAACAAACGACAAAATTACTTACACAAAAAACTTTCGACACAAAATCAAAATCGTTTTAAAACTACAAACTTTCAACGAAAAACCTCACTTTGCCAGATGTCGCAAGCTCGTTGTAATTAGCTTAGCTTAATTCGCTAGAGCCTACAACTTGAGTAGCAACATTTGGTTGGCATTTTGCCAGTCGCCACAGCCTGCAGAAGCTAAGATAGATGATAAAAGAAATAAAGCGAGACTACGTAGGAGGACCAGGTGTCAAGTATTTTCGGGGATATTCAATTTTGTTTGGAGATTGTATGCAGATTTGAGTTGAGAGGTTGATATGCGGTGCCAGAATATTGGTATAGACTTCGACGTGTAGATGTATTATTATTTTTTCTTGAAACTCTCTAAATTTCTATAGTTTAGTTTAGTTTCTGTTTATGACTTTGATTATTCTATATTATTTTAGTTTAAAAGCTGACTGCCTCGTTGCTCGTTGCACGAGTGGTCGCAAGTACTGTTTTTTTTTAATTCTCAGTAGTAGCACGGAGTCTGGCAATGAGTATATATAGCAATAGGCTATATACTGGATTATACTATTGCATGGAATTCATAACATAAATAGTGAAAAGTGGGTGTTACATTATACAGTGGCATAAAGAGCCATAATGCGCACCTCTGCCTATCCGTTCGGGGATAAAAGGCGTGATGTTATGTGATTATACTCATTTCAAAAGTTACTTAGTGTAGTCTGATTCATGCTGATTTTACACTTTTTCAATAACAGACGTTCGTTACTGTTGATTATATCATACCAGACGTATCATACCACATCAACAACGCCCACTGCTGAGCAAAGCTTCTTCTCACACGGAGAAGGTTTGTCAGTGGTGTCTACAAAATCTTAGAAAGCACAGATAACTCGGGCAAATTTCCATAACTGTCAAGCCATCAATACAATGCATTGTTGTGTTTTTTAATTATTAACATTTTAGCCATTTATCTCAAATACAGCAAATGATTTTTATTACAAAACTGACGATACAATCGGCACCGTCAATAAAAAACATTTATTAATTTCCAACCTTTCTAGACTTTCTATCTTTAAAACAACATGAAGCACTAACAAAAATCTGACACACTACTCAGATTTTAAAACTTAAGGTCGGAATACTGAAACGCTTCTCAATTTTAAGTCATGCTTAAGTATAGTTCTATCTGTACAAATTCTTTTTAAAATGACAGAGATGGCACGATATTTGAGCACGACTTAAAATTGAGTAACGTTTCAGTATTCCGGCATAAGTCTTCTATTTTTTATCCATTTCAACTAAAACATCTGGCGACCACAGCCAGGCAAAATTAGCCGTTCACCGTACGTTACAAGGTCTTAAAATGTTTGCATTAGGTCATCGACTTATTACGTTGTTCTTTGGAAGTTCGTCCTTCTGTTTGTATGTTGAAATTTTGTCATTTTTTAATGTGTCGTGAACTGCATGTTCATTTTCGTTGGTCTCGGATTAAATTGAAACGTTTCGGTACAACGATCTTGGACATTCTGCTAAAAAAATTGTGAAAATAATTATGAAGGAGGTTTTATTTATTTAAAAACTTAACTGTATAAACATGAACTGGCATATTTAAATAAAATCTGGTTTTCACAAGTCCGAAAACTAGACGTATGATTCTGGAATAGTAGACTTTTGTCCAGCTCACGTTGATTTGCCTCTGTTTTGTTTGATTGTATGTCGTTCATAACAAAGTATTAAGCTATTTATTCTGAATCAAACTTATCTGACAGTTATAATGACAATATTATTTACAGTGTATTTAGATTTATCAATTTATTAATATATTTATTAATCTCAATTCCAGGTGCAGTAACCAGCTTCTAGTAGGAGTTTCGCAAGGGCAGTCCAGGTGGGCCCGCCGACCGGTTGGGCCCACCATTGCAGCGAAATCTCTTTAGAGTAAGTTGTTTTACAAATATTTTCTTGTTACCTTATATCATTGTTATATCACCGGTATAGTGTACGTTAAGCTATTCTATTCAGGTTGCGTATGTCGTAGTGTCGTGGTGATTAATGCTCAAACATTCTCCGTGTGAGAAGAGGCCTTTGGTCAGCAGTGGCCACTTATAGACTTGATGATGATTCAGGTTACGAGTGATGCAAAAACACTTTGATTACTTTTTTACCAGATAGTCGATAATGCTGAAAATTAGAAAGCACTTAATAAAAAAGGTGATATTTATGAAGCTATGAATGTGTAAAAATAACATAAGATAACATCACGTCTTTTATTCCCGAAGGGGTACGCAGAGCTGCACATTATGCCACTGGTAAAATCTAGGCCTTGCAAAAAACGATTTAATAAAGTAAAAAGCCTACTTACCGTAGGCTGCGCGACATCGCCGCGACCCCGCAAACTGCTCATAAGGCATAACCCCTTTGTGGTTAGAAACTAGTAGAGCTTTTCTCAGTATATTCACGTGAGTAGCCCGCGATTTTTAGTTAATTTAGTATGTCTCACGATAGTAGAGGTATATGTAGTTATTATAAAAATAATATTGACTTGTCCAATTCACCAAAGAGTTGACAATTTAATTCGATAGAGCCAAATAAAAATCTATTTTTACAACAAAACAAATACAATCTTCGAACGGTTCACGCCTTCTTGACAGCCATTACGTGTAACGATAAAGCCTTTGAGCAATAGGCGCCAATGAAAATAAGAATTACTTCTACGCCCAATTTTGTGAGATTGGAACAAAATAAATGTATTGTCAGTGCAACTTTTATGTCCAACACAAATTAATGGGACAGTGTGCTGAGATTGACTTCTTTGGGATTATGTTTGGCAATATTTATTAATGAAAGAAATCACACTAATATATTATAAATTTGTTAGTTTATTTGATTTTTTATGGCATAAGCCGGTAAACGAGCATACGGATCACCTGATGGTCAGCAATCGGCGTCGCCCATGGACACCTGGAACACCAGAGGCGTTACAAGTGCGTTACCGGCATTTTGGGGGTTAGGAGTTTGGGAATCGTTGGGGATTCAGGGATTGGGGAGATTGGGGAAGGCGAGGGCAATTGGGCCTCCGGTAACCTCACTCACACGACGAAACACAACGCAAGCGTTGCTTCACGTCAGTTTTCTGTGAGGCCGTGGTATAACTCCGGTCGAGCCGGCCCATTCGTGCCGAAACATGTTTGGATATTTATCGTTAATCACGCTGAAACTACTGAACGGAGTTTGTTGAAATTGTGTATACAGCCAGAGAATGGGTAAATGACTTAGGTGATAGGATACTTTTTACCCCGATGAAATGCTCCCATGGGATAAAAAACAGGAATCATATTGTACGCGGACGTAGTCGCGGGCAATAGCTAGTAACAAATATATGAGTTCTGATAGAAAATATAATTATGTAGGTGGTATTTAAAAAATTAAACATTGTCACAATATACAATTACGAATGTCAAAATGATACCTTTCCTGGTTTTGTGCTCAGAATCTTATACACATCATCAGAAAGAAGAAGAAAGAAAAACCATGTCTATAATTTGCCAATCAGTTTTGGAGGTAATTTTGAGTTCCTTTGTATAAAAATTAAGATTAAGTAAAACCATATTGTAGTATTGGACACTCTCACACACACAAACACACCCTCACAATTACTTAAAACTGACGTTAAGACGATTTAACTCGTCGAGTACCGGTTTTGTAGACACAATTATAGAACAATAGGTTGCGGTAACCGGTGACCGCTTGGTGTTTGACAGTTTAATGAGATAAACGAGACGTCTAGTCTTTTATAATTCAATCTACGAAATACCATCCATCAATACGCACAATAACAAATAATACGCCAATTATAACATGCCATTTAGTACAAATAAAAAGAATTTCCATTCATAACTTTTATAAATAGTAGCGAAAGGTATTCAGACTCGAATAGTTAAAACTTTTTAACGTTGAAACATAAGAATTTTAGTAGCATTATGTTTGTGTTTGTTCTTTACAGTCAGTCTTACTATGGGACTAGGTTCCGTTTACTTTCCTTCAAATATTTCATTTTATAGAGTCTTAAATATTTTAGAGCGAAAAATCGGATTTATTTGCCAAATAAAGCTGACTGATATTATAGTATTTGCGAGACTGTAAAGCATTAAATTTGATTTTTGATGTTTAATTTTGATGACTGATTTTATTATTTTGATATGAATGAATTTAGTACTGTAGATGCGGTTTGCACTCATGTTTTAAGTTATGATACATGTTCGGTTAGTCACTTGGTTAGTAACGAAACTGTTTGTCAAAATGGAGGAATCTTCATCTTTTAAGTGTATTATATTAATATTAATTAACTCGTCAAGTACCGTCATTATAGACACAATTATAGAACAATAGGTTGCGGTCACCGGTGACCGCTTGGTGTTTGACAGTTTAATTTTAACCATTATATTTCATGATCATGATAATCATACATCATTATATATAAGGAATAATAATGTATTACCTAACATTAACTGACATAAGGTGCGACTCTGAGCTTTCATTTTTGACAGAGGAGATAATCGATAGAGACAACACACGACTTCAGAATTTCACGCCGTTTACCTCCGTAGGGGTAGGCACAGATACATATTACGACTCTTAATGCCACTGTCCAATGAAACACCCACTTTTCACTATTTTATGTTATGATTCCTATATAATAGGGGGTGAGCCTATTGCCTTATACCATAAGAGATTTTATAAAAAACTCAATAATACTTTGCCCGACCTGCGAATCGAACCCGAGACCCTTTGCCAGGCAGTCGCACTTGTGACCACTCGGCCACTCGATAGAGACAATAATATGAAAAACAACTACATTAAAGAATTCTATTTATCTATCCCTGTTTTTGTCTGTGCAATAGGTATACGTCTTATATTATTCCGATTCAACGCACATCCCCATTTACCTCTTTATTAAGCAAATTCATGGAGTTTGCTGATTCACGTACCATTTTCACTGAGCGTGAAAACCTCTGTTTTATTCCGAGAAAAACCTTTTTTGTTCGTCTGAAAGAAAATTCTTGAAAAAAAAAACGACTCATCCCGTACGCATTTGAAGTCTTTCCACTTTAATAATTCCTTGAGGATATTCAAACAACTGTTCTCAACGTTATTATAATGATAATTTATTTTATTATTTTTCGTCTAATAGTTCTTTAAAAAAACTACGGACGAACGCTTTGTTTGTGAACTGAAGTGTGATAATTGTTTTTTGTTTTTATTTACATAATATTTGAATACTTTATAAGGTGTTGTTTTCTTTGTCTTCTATATTAATCATGGTTATGTTTTTTCGGTTCATTAATTTTGTTTTTTATCTTAGTATTTTCCTCATTGTCAATCAGCACCAAATCTGAGATAGATTGGGGTAAATAACACGAGTCTGGATTGGATCTACTTTCCAAAATTTAGGAGTCATAAAGACGTATATGTTCCATAGTCAATTGAGCCGCGGAAGGCCTAACGGGTTGTTGGGGCTCCGGCTCGAAGAGTAGGTGTAGGAACGCGCTGGTTTTTGTTCAGTAAGAGTCTGACACTCCCTATCGCCTAAACCAAGGCTAGAGAAGTCATGGATGACTTGCCCACCTTAAAAAAAGATAGGACAAATGAATAACACAGTTAATTACTATCATGGGTAATTAACCCCATAATTATAATAATTGTATAGTAATTGACTGTGACTTTTTTCAGTTAGGTATATATACTACGCTCCTTTACTAAATGATATAATTATAATTAAACACCCACTAATTATTGTTTACTACATTTTATTAAACTTACAGGCAGTGAGTAGTCTTTAGAACCTCTTTATCAACAAAACAGTGTCTAAAAATAGCCTAATTAATGAAACCATCCTTGTTTGTTTACAACATTTGTCCACAAACGGTCCTGCATCCCTGTGCATCAATCTTGTTAATAGCCAGAACCAGGAAACTTACATAACACGACGATATAAACTTGAAACAATAACCATCTATCGTTAAAGTTGTGTACCGCGTTATTAATTAGAATGGCTGCTGTTATCGTAATGTGGGTGAAATGGTGTTGCAAAGTGCCACATTGACATCTTTCATGGTATCTGAATGAATGTTTCTTGTAAAGTTTTGTTTAGAATTAAGTAGTTATTTGGTGGTATTTTGAGTAAAATAATATGATACAGAGCGCGAGCCATATGCCGTACGACTATCACAATTTCAGACTCTGTTCTGTTTTGACAATCAATTTTGACAATGAAATACTAAAAGCAATGAAATGGCTGGAATATAAGAATTTGCGTGTTAACATAGAAAAAACAAAGTTACTACAATTTCAAACATACAATTCTTTGATAAAACCACCTGAAATATACTACAAAAATGTAATATTGAAACCAGTACCATCAACCATATTCTTGGGAATAGTTATAGACAAAAATTTAAACTGGAAAGAGCATGTAAAAAAAGTCTGCACTAGGCTCGATAAATTCGTATTTGCTCTTCGTAAACTGAGAAGAATAGCTGGCAAAGAAACATCCCTCAATGCTTATCATGGATACGCGGCAACAGTCCTATGTTACGTTACGGCCTTGTAATATGGGGAAATTCAGTCGAAATGAACAAAGCACTTATTGCGCAAAAAAAATGTGTCAGGGCAGTGTATGGAGCTGAATACTTAGAGCATTGTAAGCCATTATTTAAATCACTTAAAATTCTCCCACTTCCTTGTATGTACATTCTCGAACTTTGCCTATTTATAAAAAGGTATTCACACATGTTTCCATTGTATGAGCACATTTCAGAAAGAGTGAAAAGCAGAAGTACGAATGAATTACTTGCACCTAGCCAGAGACTACATTTGTATAGTGAGAATTCGTATTGCATGGCAATTAGAATTTTTAACAAGTTACCCCCGGGCATTAGAGTT